TTTTTTTGGTCTTCTCCTGTTTCATGCCCTGGGAAAAAATAAGACGCCGAAATCGTTACATTTCGGGGCCTCGTTTTATGGAGCGCACAGTGTGAAAAATCCTTACTTTTTTCCACAATAATATTTTATTCCTTTTTTTGTGGGTTTTATTGGTACAGTATATATATATATATATTCATTGCGTGGGAGATGGAGTGTGAGGGAATCGAGTGACCCAGCAAAATTTTAGCCTGGGGGGTTTGCTGGTTTTTTTTTTTTTTTTAGGGTTTGCCATCAGTGAGTGGACTCTGTGACACAGTAATGAAGAGAAGCTTTGTTATTGTGACTCTCTCTCTCTCTCTCTCTCTTTCCCTTTCTGCTCCACAGAACTGGAAAACATGCAGTCAATCAAGTTTGTGGCATGTGGTTTTTTTTTTTATCCCAAGGCAGTTTATTCGGTCTATTGAAAATGGGTTCTTTCACATTTATATCTGCACACAACACTCCGACCTTGCTTCGCAAAAGTGTATTGTCCAATTGTGGATAGAAGAGTGTTTTTATGGCAATTGAGTAAATATACTGTACACTTGTACAGTATTACATTTGTGTTATATATATCTGCACCCAAAAATTGAGGAGTTTTGCTCAAAATTTAGAATCCCCTGTATGATGTACAGTACCACAAAATTTGGCTTTTTGACATATTATCAATGGGCCACTTAATGGTGGAATGCAAGTGTTATTGCTTCATGCAGGTGTAAATACAAAGTTACCCTTAAAATTAACTCAATGCAGCAGCTTCAGAAATTGTAAGTTGAACAATAACAGCGGCGACAGGCGACACCTATGTGAAAGTGAGCAACAGCATACACCCGGGGACATATATACAAACGACGGGAGGAAGGGGGGGGGGTGGGGGGAGAAGTGAAAGTATTGTAATGTATAGTACTGTTTCTTCGTACCTCCCTTTACAAACAGCAGCGAGAAAGAAAAAAAAAAGACATTATTCTTTGAAAGGCTTTTCAAAGGTAAATTTCTCCTGAAAGTTTTCGCTTCTTCTGCTGCGGTTTATTTTTAAGACTCGAAAGGCCCCCCTTTTTCCGGGCAGAAATTCTTCTCATCTGGAGCATGACATGCCCATCATCAGCCGGAAGAAACAAAAGAAAGGAAAAAGAAAAAGAAAAAAGAGGCAACAACTCAACCCCGTCGTGGGTATTTTCTGGGTCGGATCTTCTTCTTCTTGGATCATTCCTTTCCCACCAGCATGCGCAACACTGTACAGTACATTATAACGGGACCTCACCTCTACAGTAAATCAGGTTAAAATATTTCCGAATCCTGCAGCAAGTTCAAGAAAAATAAGAAGAAGGGAAATGGCCTTTTTCATCACGCCCTAATAATATGCATGCTCATTTAAAATACTGCTGCATATATATATATACATATACTGTATATAAATAAATATATGCCTCTGCCTCATCATTTTCTCAATCAGCAGTTGATGAGATCCCTGTGCCGAGATGGCAATCAGGCTGGATGACTCGGCACACCGGACTTGACCTTGTTTCCCCGAAACTGACCTGACTATATATATATATATATATATACAGCACATACATGAGCTGGTTCGCTTTTCTCCGGATGTCCGTCCTTTTCTTTTTATTCTCTCCTTTGTTTAAACTCTCGATATATATTCCACTTTTCTTTCCACACTTATTGCGAAAGAAAACAAAAAGAGAAAAAAAAACTAAACGAGCAGGTGTGTGTGTGTGTGTGTGTGTTTTCCTGAAAGCATTAATTTTCTCGCGGTCAGCGGGGAGAAGAGGAAATTTATGCGCAACCGCAAATGCGTATTTTTTTGTTGTTGTCTTTTTGCGGTTCAGTAGGTGAGTCCGCGTTTATTCTGCTGTTCTTATTGTCGTGCGTGACCCAGGTCTCGGCACCTGAGGTCATTCGTCTTCGTCGCGTGCTCTTTTTTTTTCCCCCCGAGATGTGTACATTTAGGAAATGTGCGCTGCTCGACTTTGAATGAGACCAGCATTTCCTTGCAGAGCAGAAATGAAAGTTTTTCTCGATGAGTTTGGCATGATTCTCACCTTTTTTATGTGTATATATTTCATATATATGCGAGTATATATTCCCTTTATTTTGCAAAATACTTCGAGAACACCTGGGGAACAAATACATCACTGAAAATAGTTTGATTATTTTTCGACCATTTTCCTGTCGTGTAAACAATTTGCGTATATGCATGTTTTCCGGTATTTTTTTTTATTGACACCCTGTTGTTGAAACCTATATATATATACGCACTGGAACCAATGACCAAAAGGCAATTATTTTCAGCTATAATAAACACAAATTTGAACGCATACAAAATCATTTTGAAAAACTCGTCAGGCAGCCAGATTTGAAGCACAGTCGGAATTTTAAAGGAATGCTTATTTCCGACTGGTTCTGTTTTCCAAAGATAATTAGCGCTCTTTGCAAAAAGAACAATATACTGCAAAAATATTCTTTCTCTTTTAGCCGAAATATAAGGTAATATTGTTTTTAAAAGGTAGATAAGACATTGAATAATGCAACAACAAAATCAAAGGATTTTTGTGACGCAATTCAGGCATTCCATATACGAGTACAGTATATATTAGTCATCTTGATTTTATTTGGAAAATGTGAAATGGTGTTTGATGATGGATGACGAGAACCGTTTTGGGTCGGTTTCCTCCCTCGTGATAATTGAGGGTGAAGAAATGCCCATGTTTGGTTCAACAATCATTCAATGGGCAATAATATACGGGGAAATGAATTCGCCCCAGCGTCTTTTCC